TGCATTTTCTTTGCTATGTAGAATGCATGGAATTGTCGCTTTAGGAAATGTCATGATTAGATTATAGGAACTCTAGTCATGATTAATTCGTTATTACATCATACATCATGTCTTTTTTCTAATAACACGTAGTCAACGAAGTTGAGAAAAAACTGTTAAAAATTTAACTTACTTGAATTGCCATTATGCGTATTTGCTTTTCCGCTGAATCTTGATCAGTCAAACTTAAACTCTTGCGTTTCTCTAATGGTATATATGCTTTGGTAACATTCCAACACCTTCCAGATAATGACATAGCTGCGAATATATAACGTCATATAACGTCAAGCTGGATGCACAATGCTAGGCGATAGCAATAGCGATAGCGATAGCGATAGCGACAAAATTTCCGATGAATTGGAATTCTGTATCTATTGCCTTGTAGCCAACCGATTAGCGTTCAGATTTTTGCTGAGACGCGCGTTTCCAGTTAATTGTATTAAAAATTAATATTTCGAATCTGCCATATATCTAGATTATATTTTAATGCTATTAGGCCTGTTCGTTTTCGCTGCACTTCTGAACTAATGCAATAAGTATATAAGATTGAAACATTAAATATATTTTCTTTTATTCTAACTTATATTGTATTAGTTTAAGAAGTGCAGCGAAAACAAACAAACCTATTGCTATCGCTATCGCTATCGCTTAGCATTGTGCAACGGCTATCAAGATGATGCAAGAGATAATATACGAATTATTAATGTTTAAAATACTTTTTTCAATATCAATGATAAATTAATCATGCTTATGCAAAGAAGTTGCATTTATAAAATGCGCTTGGTTAAATTATGTGTTTAAAATGTTTCTATGACAGATAGCATCTAAAAACGTATAAACAATGTGATATCATTAATATTGATTGTGCTCAAATTGAAAGTTTCGACACTGCAGAAAATTAATTAATTGTTATGTAATGTATTTTTGTTAATTGTGATGTACTACTTTGCAATATGTCACTATAATTCTATTTTTCTTATTTATAATACATAATTATAGTACATAAATAAAACTTTATTTTGCAGAATTTTAAAACAATTACGCATACGAAAAATTTTAAACATTAATAAACTATTGCGCATTGGGCAGAATTACTGTATCTTATATTAGTGAATGGGGTGTACTGTGTACCTTAATTAAATCCTACACTAATTTGGCTCTAGAAACTGTGTAGAAATTAATCCACTGCTTTATAAAGGTTCCATGGAACACGAAATATGTCCAGGTATATTTAAATATACTTGACTGAAACCTGAAACCATGTTCAATAATAAATCTTGTCATACGACGGATGATGAAAATGAAAATGCAATCTGTTTCTTTTCTCTTTATTTTTATCTTTGGTAAGAATTATCTGTTCGCGTGACGCGTAAGCAGAAAGGAAGATGGACTGCTGGAGTTATGTAGATGTTATGTAGGAAACATATACTGACACTGATGCAAAGATACAAGCGTGACGCGTCACTTTACTAAACAGCCGAAATATACAAAAGGGAAAAAAGAAAATAAATTTACACGAAGTTGAGAATTTAGAGGTAGACCGAACGACGAGTGTCCCGGATCAAATTCCTTTAGAGTTACATTTTCGTTTATTGTAATTTAGACTGCTCGCGACCGAAAATAGATAATGACTCATAGCGACTGACTGATGATTGACCGACGTAAGAAAGTTCCGGAATTTTTTATACTCGCAATAAACAAAGAATATGCCAGAAACTTCGGACCCTTGGCAACAGCGAGTGGAAACGATTGAGACTTCACGGAATCGTTATGGCTAAGTTCGCAATATACCGAAATAGCGGTTTACATTTCGTCCTGTCTTGACTACGTCTTGATTACGTTTGAAATCAACACGCGTTCAAATCATCGCTTAACAAAAAAGCTCCGAGAACAGCTCAAGTTTCGTTATGATAAGCGTTGATAAGAAAATCAAGAAAATGTCGTGATGCCATGCTATGAATCTATCGCTATTTTTAAGCTACCGTAATCTCGAACAATATATATTTTTTATGCGAGAAATCTGAAAATTATTAATTTATTTATCAATGCTAAAATTGATTGGTAAATCTTCTTTCAACGAAATATTTTGTATAAAATTGGCAGTTGCCGAAAGGAACTGAATAATCAAATGCTAGATCTACATGAAGAACTTTCATAACTCACTATTTTCACTAATTGTGGAATTAACTTTAAAACATTAGAAACTTATTAAAGTTTTACGCGGACAAGTTTTACAGTAATAATTAATAAGTGTTGACATCTTCATTTATGCAATAATAACTGTTAATATCATTACTAAAATATGCTAGCAAGTAAATACAGATTCGATATCACCCGCGCGAACCATTTCATTATGTAGAAATCAATTCTCTTTATATGAAAGATACAACATTATACATCTCAACAATATTATTATCGTTTTTAGGAGTGAATTCTTCCATTCAGTTGCAAAGCTTTCGTTGTTCACACTTTTATTCACACTTTATCCTTTACTTTCAAATTATTTTCTCCTAGAGTGATAATATAAAGTTTTATTTTGAATTAAGCACAAAAACTAGATTAATAAAAAATACAAAATTGACCAAAAAGGTCATGTTTTGTTTTTATTTTTAAAACAAATCTAGATTTCAAAATGATGGGTTACCAAATTTAATTGAAATTTGTGTGTAGCCGATTTATAATTTTTGTAAAGTATATTCTCCCATCTGTCGATGGTCGGACAGTATATTTCCATTAAATCAGATATCTCTATACATAATTGATCAACATTATATGTCTCTGCATTAGAAATAAAGATAAATAAACTGGTAGAAAATAAATAAAGCATAAGTTTATTTTTTTTCTCTACAGATATATCTATGTATATATGAAGGAATAATTATGAATTTTTGATTCTGTTTTAATGTAATATCGCATTTTATTGAATCCCAATTAATGACACTATCGAAAACGTATAATTGGGATAAACATTGAAAAACAAAAATCAAGTATAAATTTATGAAAAATAATTTGCTCGATGAAAAAGGTAGTTGCTAAAGATTCTAACACTGTATTACTATATATGTACACAGGATGATTTAAAAGAACGATTGGAAATTTTTAATAAGATATGTAATGTACAAGTATTGATAAAAATAAGTAAAACATTAATATATAGATAACATAGGCGTAAGGATTTTTATTTCTTTTTGTTTTAAATCAACCTGTAGACTTGAAAAACTTTCAACTAAACTACATTAAGTATAATTAATAATAGTTTTATTCGTACATCTAAACTCAAATCATAAATTATTTTCAATTTGTATTAATACTCATTTGCATATAAATTCTTATATATACAGGCTGTTTCTTAAAGAACGGCAGTTAATTACAGATAATGCTATTTCTTATAAAAAATTAAATCAAAAAATCCGAAATCATTTTTTTTCTATAATGTACAATACAGTAATAATTATTGAATAAAGTCAATTCAATCAGCACTATCCTTTAACTGGGTGTACGCCTGGCGAGCGTATGTCAGGCTAAAAAACGGCACCGATTAGATTGACTTTATTTAATAACTACTGCTGTATTGAGCATCATAGAATAAAAATGGTTCAGAATTTCTCGACTCAGTTTTTGACAAAGAATAGCGCCATGTAATTAATGGACGCTCTTTAAACAAACAACTCTGTATAAAACTTAAAACTAGACTATATTTGTAGATAAGAAAACATGTTTACTAAATTAAATAAGAAAAATATCTTTATAATGTTCTATGACTTTATACTTAAGACTGCAATCATATATGAATCAATCTCCAGGTAGCAAGATGACGTGTAAAGACGTCTTAATGACGTTAGAGACTTTAGGTATGAAGAACTTTTATAATTCAAAATACTAGAATATTTTATTGAAGTTTCGCGCAGTCAAATTCTACTATAATAATTAATGAGTCGACTACCTTAATTATGCAATAATAACTGTTAATTGCTAAAATATGCTAGCAAAATAATGAATAAACAAATGGGTTCGATGAGAAATATATCAGGAACTTCTTTATTACGTAGAATACATTAAACGATTAAACAGAATACATTAAACAGAATACATTGAATTCTCACTTTATCTGACAGATCCGACATTACATTTCAATAATATTATTATTATTTAGGAAAATTAAATTTCTTCTACTCGATTATAAAGTTCCGGTTTCATAGTTTACACTTTGTATTACCTTTTACTTTCGAATTACCTTCTCCCAAAACAACAATATAAAGTTTTATTTCGAACTAAACACAGAAACTTCTAGATTGACAAGAGATACTAAATTAACCAAAAAGATCATATTTGTAACATTTTTATTTTTAAACCAATCTCTAGATTTCGAAATAATGAGTTATCAAATTTAACTCCCATTTGTAATTTTTGCGAAGCATTTTCTTCCATCTACCGATGTGATTGTTTTAATTTAATCGCATTTTATTGAACCCCAATTAATGACAACATCAAAAACATATAATTGCGATAAACATAAAAGAACAAAAATCAAGTTTAAATTTATGAAAAATAATTTGTTCGGTGAAAAAGATAGCTGTTAAAGATTCTGATACTATAATACACAGGATGATCTACAGAACGATTGGAAATTTTAATAAGATATAGTACGGATAAAAATAAATAAAACATTTATATATATTATAGATAACATAGGTTTGTAAAGATTCTTATAATTTTCCATTTTCTTTCGTTTTAAATCAACCTGTAAACTTGAGAAAGTTTAACAAAACTACATTGAGTATAATAAATAATAATTTCAGTTCTACATCAAAACTAAAAAAAAAGAATTATTTTTAATCCATATTAATACTTATTTGCATATAAATTCTTATACATATAAAAGTTAATAATTATAATTAGATTTCTTAGGTGACAAAGATAATTATGTATTAGGTGGTGACAAAGAAAATTGATCAGTGCTGACTTCAAATTTACTTTTCTCAATAAATTCCATTATCTTACTTAAATCTTCTTGCGATAGACTTTGAAATGCTTTAGTGTCCCTAATTTCTTTTATGTGAAATTTAATAAAAGCTGCCGAATGCGTTTCTAAAAATTTGGCATTAGACGAGAACGCAAGTTGTACAAGTTCTACGGCATTTTCAATCGTAAGACTGCGTAACACATAATGTTGACACGTTAATTTTAAAGTTTGTACATCATATTTATCAGATGCTGTTAATAATTTTCTAAGCATCTTATAATCACCCTGATCAA